CTGTTGCTGACTTTGTGCAGCCGCTGCGTTTCTGCGGTCCGCCTTCTTCCGCCGTGAGGGCCAGGCTCGCCTGCCTGCTCGTGGTGGAATGCGGCCGTCACTGGCGGGACACGAAACGATGCTCTCAGGCGAAGATGTTTCTGTCGACATGTTCGGCAAAGTTCGCTGCGGAGCTGTTGGAGATGAGCAGGAGCCGGGTTCGCGCTATTACGAATTTTTCCACGGGCCATTGCCCGGTTATATATCACATGCATAGGCTGGGGAAATCGGGCTCTGCCCAGTGCAGATTTTGCAGGGGCGGTGATGAAACTGCCGTACACATACTTTGGTGTTGCCCGGTACTAGGTGTCCGGCAGCGCAATTGTTTTGGGCAGGGTTTCTTAAGTATCCGAGAACTGCTGTCCAACTCTCTTAGGGATATCTCCGGTTTTATGCTTGGAACGGAAATATTGTAGGAGAGGCGTGGCACTCGGTTTCCTTGAAAAATCTACAATCTACTTGGCTTTTTATAAAAATACGCTCCAGACTAAATTTCCTTGGGTTTATATACTCATTACATACAATTATTACTCAAAATTGATTTAAAAAAAACTAAGTAGGTTTACAGAATGTTTAAATTTAATTTTTAATAATATATTTTAGCATAACACATTTTAAACACAACATTTTCAAATTATAAACATAAATATTACAACAGTACTTTTACATAATACATAAGTATTTATAATTTATACATATTGACAACTTTTCTCTGCAACATGTTAATTAAATGTCACCAATATGACAGTTAAATACTCGTATCTTATCAACATTATAATTTGAATTTATTTATTTTTATTTATTTTTATTGTAACTATTTTTACTGCACAAATAAAACATTTTTTGTTATTTTTTGCAAATTTCCAAAAGAAAAATGAGAAAATGCGCGCACTACATTCATATTTGTCCCTCTTTCCATCTATATTTTAATATACTGTCAAAACTTCTACAATACTCAGCGTCGATGGATGAAATTTTGTAAGCAAATAGATCGATCCGAACTAAAAACAATTTGTCAATTCTCCAAGTTCTGCAGAATATGGTGACTTATTAAATTACTTCTTTTTAGAAGTAGAGAATTTCTTTTTACTTTCCTACTTCTCCCAAATTTTCAAAATTTAGAAAATGTAAATTTTGGGTCCCCCTACTTCCTTAATGTTATAACTAAATTTAAACTTTTGTTAACCCAGCAATGTCACAATAAACTTATTTTTATCCAAAAATATTCTTCTTAATAAAGTTATTTAGCAACACAATTTCATATTTATAATTGCTACTAAAGATTTTTATATAAATATCACTTTAAAAGTCCTCCCAAAAGTTAAATTACAGGGTAATAAGGCAATTGTTTGTTGTTTTCAAGAGAACATGTTTGATATTTAAATCTCTAAAGCTGCTTATATTTCTATTACATATAAGTAATAGAAATAAACCAGCGAATAAGTAAATGTGCTACTTTATAAATCACGGTTTTGATTGACTTTACATTTGTATTTCATTTTTATACTAAAAAAATTTTATTACAACTGCAGCTATGTGTTTGCGTGTAACCTTTAAAAAAATTGACCATGATTGTATATGAAATTGCAAAAATAAAATTGAATTGACATACTACGATCACATAAAAAAATTAACTATATAGATAACCAAAAATTTGAATGATTAGTAAAAAATAGTCAGTTAAATAATTAAAATTTTTTTAAGCTATTTTCGTTTATGCTATACAAGGTAAGTTGTTCATACACATACAATGTATAAACATTTTAATATTTTGTTCCAAAATCTCTAGCTATTCTTGTAATAAAACCGTTTCATGATGTTCTCATGCGCGCTGTATATTCAAAAGAATTAAGTTGAAAGGGTTCCTGACCAGACAACCAATAAACAAATGTAAATTGGAATTCGATTACATTGATTGCCGACTGCAGATTGATAAAATGACACCAGAAAATTTTCCGTCTTCTAACTTTAGCTCTTCATGCAAAATTCCTGATAATTCGTGAGCTTTATACTGTTTTGCAGGCTCAATTGGTCAATAGGATTAAAGATCAATTGGTAAATAGAATTAAATGATTAAAATTAAATTTGCTGCAAATAACTGTCATGTTACCTTACAGTCGATATAAACATAAATTTAATTATAGAAATAATTTTAATTTTAATATTAGTAATCAATCTACAATTAACACCTCTAAAACTTACTAGCAATTTCCACTTTTTTTCCACAAAAACAAGAAAAATGAAAAAAACACAAAAATCTAGTTTACAAAATTGTAAATTCATTTTTCGGTAGTGCATTCTACATATGTATACATATATACACATGATAAATAACTATATACATAATTATTTAAACACTATGAATATTTATAGCGTAATTCCATAATATATATATACTCGTACATATATGTATATAAGAAATATGTGCATTTTGTACATAATATTCTATTTACATTTTTCTACTTTATTTGTATTTAACAAACCCAAATATGGACAAGTACACACTGAACTTGACCAATAAAAATATTTTAACCACGGTAAAACTATCATTGATACATTTCTATTTTTTACGTATTTTAGTTGTATGTACACACGTATGGTATGTACGTCCAAAATGCAATTTAATGTTATTTTGAAAAGCGCAAATGAACTTCTACTTACACGTTAGTGCTCTCTATTTATTTGGTGACGTTGCATATTCAAAATCGTTACATAATTAAATATGTATATGTATGCATATATTTATATAAAACCTTAAGATCAGTTTATTTGCTTTTATAAAATTCATGTATAATTATGTTGTTTAAACACAAATTAAAATTAATGTTTAAAGAACGCATATATATGAAGACAGTATAAGATGAAGTAAAATTTTATAATTTGCATGAGAGAACCATCAAAACTAGTTTAAACTGATTTAAAAAAAAATTATTTTCATTATCAATTACCGCTTTAATTTGCATAAATTGTTTTATATTATTTATATATAATCAAATGAAAGAGAGAATCAGAGTAGCTACAAACTATTGAGGCGCCAGCAGATATTAAAATAAAAATTTTTAATGTAAAGTGAGCTATTGTGTAACTATAAAGTTTCCAAAATTTTCTCTTGGAGAAATCACAATTTTAGCTATATATAGACAAGATTTCATTTGAGTTTTATTCAAATTTACAAATCGCACCTTTGTAGTAGAAATAGCAGTAGTAAGAGAAGAAAACTCCAACTGGCCATCAACGCAAAGCTTGTGCACTAGGCCAACAAGAAAACCCATCGACAACCCTCGAATTAACACACGACAACTCCAATGTAATACAAATCCGAAGAGCTACCTACAAGAATCCGTCAACCTCCTTCACGAATCTCAAGAGCCACACAAAAGACTATTCCGACAAATCCCCCAAGCCATCGTCCTGCACATTAGAGACGGACAGGCATAAAGAAAATGTTTCATGTCTTCCACCTCCGCAATGTCATGACACCCGTTGTAGTTTTGCCCATTTCCCCCAAGAGAATAGAAACATAATACTACCGACTAATAACCGAATAAAAACATAGTTAGACTGCGAAAATAATTCACACACTTTAATCAAAGAATTCGAGTAAATTCAAATAATTTCAATAAATTAAAATATTCATACTCTCATTCACTGACTTAACTGCATGGAATTTTTTATTTATATATTTAAATTTTACATTAACGTATAACAGATTATAGGTTTTACCAATATAAAATTTTATTCAATTCAATAATAATTTATTTCTATGAACATATATTCAAAGTTTTCAAGTTAATGAAATCATAAATTTCAAATTCATTATTATATACATATATACGGTCGTCGATTCTCAATTTGTACTCTTATATATATTTAATACACACGAGTAGATTTATATTTTAATACTACATAAATCACTAAATTATTATGCACTCTAATAAATTTCAAGAAGATTTTAATTTTCAAATTAAATGCAAATTAATTAAAATATGATTGTATAAAAACCACAATATGTTAGAGCAAATAATAGTTACTTAAAAAAAACTAGGATTAAAAAAATTTAGAGATTTTTTTTGAAATTCTATTATGTAATTTGAGATTGTATTCTCATTATTGTATTTTGAGTATAAAATATGAGTATTTTTATCAATATGCACTAAAATTTAGAATATTGGAAAACGCACACAATCTCTGCACTAGCATCTATATGGAAATTTGTATAAAATACAATAGGCAGAGCCTCACTTGTTTTCGTTCTTTCTTCTTTACCCAACTATAAACATATTTCACTCATTTTTTTTTCACTCTTTTAACCTATTCGTTCCTTCATTTTTATTCGTTTTACTCATTCAATTCGTTTTACTTATTTTTTTGCTCGTTTTTTTTACTTTTTATTTCTTCTCATTCAATTATTGCTTTATATAATGATATTAAATAATATTATATTACAGTATATTATTGATATTTAAGTATTAAAGTTAGATAAAGTTCAATATATGAAAATGATCAATAAATTTCATATTAATTATTGTTAATAATAACCGATCGCAATATGGAAGATCAATTAAAAAAACATAAAAATTTAACTGCAAATTATGGGTGTGATTTTAATAATATTTTAATTACAAAATATTTAAATAATTTAAATAACTATATTATTTTTATATTAAAAATAATTTAATTGAATTTTTTTTATTTCCTGTATTTTGATTTTTGTAACAAAAACAAAGGATATACCGTCTAAATGGTTTACAAAATGAATCATCGATAATTGATTTGAGTATCGATTCGGATACAACTAATTCAGTGATTACAACCAATAAAATAAATATTGAAAATAATGATAAAATATTAAAAAGTGAAAAATTACCATCAACTAAAACAAATGATTATTGTAAAAGTGAAGATATTCAAATTAATAGCAGTAATAATAATAAAAGTAATAATGATAATAAAGATATTAGTAACAATAATAATAATGAAATAAAATATGGCGGTAGTGTAATACAATTTATTTGGGGAATTATCATTGAATATCTTGATAATAGTACAATACATGGCTTCAAATATATTGGAGAAAGAAGATCAATTATTGAAAAGTATGAAATATTTAATTAATTAAAGTTAATAATATTATATAAAATTTATAATCTAGTTTAAGTAAATGAAGTTTTGAAAAATTTATTGTTTTTAATGAGATATTTCAAGTTATCCTTCAAATTTTCATTAAAATTACCTTGAATATTTTGTTAATTGTATTATATAATTAATTAAATATTTTCTAAACTGTTTATGTGAAAAATTTACTCAAACTATTTGATTTTAAATTATTTGTATTAAATTTTGTTTTATTCAAATTATTAAATTCAACAAAATATTGATGTTTAAAGTTGAATTTATTGTAAGATAATAGAAATAACTAAATTTAATAGAACTGAAAATAAAAGAACTTTAGAAAAAAAATAAATCATATGGGGTATTTCATTGGATAATAATTACTAATAATAGTTTCATAATTAAGAATAATAATAATAATGACTCTTAAAATAATACTCCTTTCAAAAATGTTCAAGAAAATAGTGTGAATTTTCAATGAACTGTGAACTATATGAAGTGTTATACTAGTGTCTTATATGTATAAAGATATTTTATGATAATTATTACAATAATAATTATTACCATTATTTTATATTATGTATATAACATAAAAAAAATCTGATGTGGTCAGCACATAACCGACCGCATTGTGTATTGTCTAGTTAAATGAAAGTGTTACAGAATATTATAAAAATGTCTGTTAAATACTTCTTTCCAATTTTTAGGACATTAGTAAGCTTATAGTTTACATACTTAGAAAAATGTAAATTTGGCTCTTAGTAGAGTTTCGCTTTGTGCTACCCGAATTTCCTGAACTGCTCGCCAGTTAGTTTCGGTAACAACCAGAACTCAAATATCAAATTTCAAGAAATTCCATCAATTTGTTCTGTGGATATATTGAAAAATGTAAAATCGGCCCGCAAATCAGTTCTCGAGCCCTGATCTTTCCAAAAAAGTTATATGTTCATTGTTTTAATACGGGGAATTCATATATTAAATTTCAATGAAATCGGTTGATTATTTCTCTTTATATACACAAAAATGTGTATATGGCCCGGAGTAAACGCCCAGTTGCTGATGCCTGATTTCTTCCAAAAGTTAGGAATTTTTGCGTATGATAGAGCAAAGCTTATATATGAAATTTCAAGTAAATCGGTTTAATACTTTCTTCAAAATGGTGAAAAATGTAAAATCGGCCCGCAAATCCGTTTTCGAGCCCTGATCTTTCCAAAAAATTTATATGTTCATTGTTTTAATACGAGGAGTTCATATATTAAATTTCAATAAAATCGGTTGACTATTTCTCTTTATATACACAAAAATGTATATTTGGCCCGTAGTAATCGTCTAGTTGCCGATGCCTGATTTCTTCCAAAACATACGAATTTTTGCGGACGGTCAAGCTGAGCTTATATATAAAATTTCAAGTAAATCGGTTGAATATTTTCTTCAAAATGTTCAAAAATGTAAAACAGGCCCGCTAAAAAGTGCAGTTCCCGAGGCCTGATATACACCAAAAGTTGATCGATCCGTGCCATGGTGGAAACAAACTTACATATAAAATTTCATCAAAATCGGTTCAGCCGAACTTGAGATACACGCGTGCACACACAGACCGACAGACCGACAGACCGACAGACTGACAGACCGACAGACCGACAGACCGACAGGCTGCTAAAAATAGTTTATTTACACTTCCCTACTATGGAGAAGTACGTTCCCACCGAAAACTCGATATGCAAAATTTGTTGCCATCACATAACCTACCTATTGTTTACACAATACGGTCGGTAAATATAATTCAAAGCAATATTATTTTTATTATAACATAATAAAAGAGAAAACAAAAAATTATTTTATTAAAATTTTCTTTCAGATTATTTTGGATATGCATTTTTATTATATCAATATATGGTTGTAGTAGATTAATAATGAATACATGGGAAAAATGGGAAACAAATCCTGTTATAGTTAGTTTTAATGAAAAATTTACACCAGTATGGCAAATACCATTTCCGGCAATTACAATATGCCCAGAACGTAAATTTATGCAAAACAAATTTAATTATACCGATGTATTATTGGCGTTAAATAGTACCTCAAGGAATTTAACAGAAAAAGAGTAAGTTTTATATGAAAATATTATATGTAAATATTATATTCATGTGTATATACTTATTTTTGCATATTACATACATCCAATAAGATTTATTTTTCTTTAATAATTTAATTTATATTGTTTTTGTTAATATTATTATTACAGCATCCTTTTTTATGTTAAGATTTTACTCTTAAATCTAAACAAATTATATAAATATAGAATAAATAAAGTGACATTTTACATAGTTCGTAACCATAAGTAACATTATTATATGGTATGTGTACCACAATGAAATACACAGAAAAAAATGTAATAAAATTTAACATAAATTTATAACGACATTAACAAACGAAATCCCGAATCTCCCTTGTTTAGTCGAAATAAGAATTTCAAGATTTTTCGGTTATAGAAATTATCCGGCGCCAGAGCCAAAATTTTATTTTAAAATTAAGATACGGAGACCGCTCTCCGATTTGGGGTCAGGTTTGGGGTTAATATCAGGGTTATATCAGGATTATAAATTCAGGGTTAATATCATTAGATTTAAAATAAGAGTTGGAGTCGGAGTCAGTGCAAGAGCTGAAATTAAAGTAAAAAACTAAGGCTATAAAATTGAATTTGAAGTTGAAGTTGGGGGTCGGGCTAAAGGATGTTGTCGGAGTTGGAGTCAGAGTCAGAGTCAAACTCGGAGTCGAACTTGGAGTCGAAGAAACAGTCAAGGTCAGAGTCGGAAAAGAAGCCGGAACCAAATTCGGAGTAGGAGCCGGAACAAGATTCGGAGTAGGAGCCAGAGTCGGAGTCAGAATTAAGCCCAGAATCAGAGTCAGAGTCGGAGTCGAACACAAAAAGGAAAAATAAAACTTTCTCTGTACAGGTTCCGCCGTGCGACAAAAAATTGTGCTATATAAGTCACCTTACTTCAGAGATACTTCCTTAATTATACGGAAAACTTCGTATAGTAATTTGCTATTGCTGTTAAAGTTTTAGCACAAAATTCCTGCCTGTGTTAAATAGTATTAAAGTACATGTCGAACAAAAAAACTGCCAGTCTATGCTGAACCATGACGCATAAGGAAAGAAGTACATGGCGCATATTAATAAATTTTATGGCAATATTTGCTTATATGTTCATAAATTTCAACTAACATTTCTTACTGTGTAAACTTTAAATTTATTAAAACACATTTCACATAATATTTCATATCATCGGACACTTTGTTTTTTTTCGTTCGTAAAGGCGCCAGAAGGTAACAAAGTTATTTATTACATATATAATATTTTAACGAAAATTATTATAAAATCTTTAAGTGTATAATAATTTAATAAAATTTTAATTGATTAAATTATGCAAATATCTGAAAATTTTACTATATAATAAATAATAATTACATAATTATAATAAAATTACTTTGATATATTAAGCGTTATAAAATCGCGTATATATTTGAATTAATATTATTAATAAGTTGAATTAAATTTTGTTAAATTATATAAGGGAAATGTATTAAAATTCAAATATTAGTTTCTTAATATATATATATATATATATAAATAGAACGCAAACTTAATTATAATATGTAATATTTTTAATTAGATTTTAATTTTTACAAAATTTACAATTAAATTAGATAATTGATTTAACAATTTTATTAATTAAATATACAATATAATAATTACATATATATGTATATGTGTAGTTTAAATGAGATTAAATAATTATTTTATTTGAAATTAGAGTTTTTTTTAACAATAAACCTTAACACTTATAATTATTACAGAATTCAATTAACGTTTCTATTATATTTTGAAAATTAATTGAATATTTTATGCTTCAATTATTTAATTTAAATTTTATACACTCATCCTATATGATTTCAAGATTTTTAACATTTTACTGAAGAATAATTCGTCGGCAATTTCTTCATAAATCTGTAGCTCAGATGAAAGAGCGTCCGCCTAGAAAGGAGTAGGTCACTGGTTCGAGTCCTGTTCAAGGAGAAAAATTTATTAATTTTTCTGACTTTAACTCGTACCTTTGATTACGTCATTCATCTGTTCTGCAGTTATATGAAGAAGTTTCTATTGGGTTAATATACGTACCAACAGCAATCAACGTATAAGATACTTCAAATTACTGCCTAATTAGTTGACCAGCGCCTTCTGAAGTAAAACGCTGTTTGGAATTCTCTTATATAAAAAAATTCTCTGTCAAAATCGGTATGAGTAATTACTTCCCCAAATAATATCTTTATTAAAGCCGCTGTAGCGAGAAATACTCTCAACCACATGCTTTATTTACAATAATATACCAAAAATTTTCAATTTAAATGCCACCAACTAGTAGTTACGTTAAGTAAACAAAATTCACAAAATTTCACCTCAATTAATATTACCATAAACCAATTTTTCTTCTTCTCATTTTTTTTTATCAAATAAATTTTATATTCTAGTTATCCACCTGTCGGACTTTAAAATTATATTCGCAGATTATCGTTATTGTACATTTTTATACGATTAACACTCAAAAGCTCATTCGATTATCGTTCAAAAAAAAAATGAATTCATTTTTTGATTGCAAATTTTTTTCATATTAATTTTTTTTAAGACATCATTAAACTATCTGTAAATATTTTTTTAACAAGATTATCTTTTTAAAAAAAAAAGAAAAACAAAAATTCAAATTTATGGACAAATTATTTAAATTTTAATTTTTTTTTTTGTAAAATTTATTATTTTATTCTACTGAACATAATAATGATAAATCAACTGATGATATTAATGGGGAGCCGCTTTATATTTTTTCTCTGATTTAAATTGCGAAGTGCGTGCGTGCATTTTAACATATTGTGATCGTATATTTTCTATATTATTTGAGTTTTAATAAAAATAATTTTGAAAGATTGGACTGGAGGTCATTTATACGTAATTATGAAAATATTGAAGATTATAAAAAGATTATTAATTTTTCGAATATATTTTTGTCATTCAACATTTTATATTATGCACAATTTAATGTAATTAATGAACGAGATTAAAAATTTCAAACAAAAATTTAATATGTTTGTCGTGATGTAAATTAAAATGATGGATTATTCATTTGGATTTTATAAAGAATTTTCAAAATTAAAGTTAAAATTATTTATTAATAGCTGATTTTGGCGGAGACACAATTTTAGAACAAGTAATAAGTTTACAACTTGAAGGTTACTAATATGATTTTTTCGTAGAAAGTATAGTCACGAATCACTTGTATGAGGAATAGGTTACAGTAGCAGTGTTCATTGGCCTCAAAAGAGTATTTAAATCGGTTAAAAAAAGGTTGTTACTTAGAAAAATGGAGAAGTTTTAGGTTGTGAAGGATGTGGAGAGTAAGAAATAAGTAATTGATTGGTTTTGCTATTAGCGTATTCAATACAATGGTGACGCATTATTTCAAATATTGTTCCACTGTAATATAGCCTTTTCGTCTAATGAAATACATAATAGCATCAGTGATAATGATCTTATATTCACATTTCATGATCATACTTCCAATTATTGCTAAAGCTAAAAAGAAATACAAAATGAGGTTAAAATAGTATTTGATTTAAGTAAAAATAGGCATCATGGCTTCAAATTAAACCAGCTTGGGGTTATGATCACACGGCAATACTCTTACCGATATCATATTATTCTAGTTTTTTAAATATCTATTCTTAATCATTTATATTAATATAATTTGAATATTTATTAATTTTTTAAAAATTTTTTTTAGAAGTTTATATTTAAATGCTGCTCTTCAAGTCTGCGAAATGGATGTACTTGTTGAAGTTTATTTGAATTTATCGAATACGAAACCGAATGCAAGTGATATTATAACAGCATTAAAAGAAATGCGACCAGAATATTATGATCTTTTTGAATGTGCATGGGAAAATAAAAAACAACATTGTGGTCATTATTTTGATGAAATTATTACAGAAGAAGGACTCTGTTACAATTTTAATTCATTAGATCCAAATTATATGTATAAAGAAGAAGTGTGAGTACATTTGTATTACAATATGATCATAATTATCTAAAAACAAATTTCAATTATTTTAATTCTCAGATTAAATGATGATTTTTATTTTGGAAGATATAGAAATTTTTCGGGTAAAATCAAAGATAAAAAAGTTATTATTGAATGGAGTTTAGAAAATGGTTACCATTCGGAATCCGGTGAAAATACATTTCCTAGAAGAGGTCTTGGTGCTGGTACTAAAGCTGGATTATTTTTAATGTTATTTGGTTTAATGAATCATTATGATAAATTGTGTCGTGGACCAATTGATGGTTTTAAAGTACAATAATATTTTTTGCAAATTTTTGCCAAAAAAAAAGAACAATTAAAAATTACTTTTAATTTCTTTTATATAGATTTCATTTCATTCTCCAGACGAAACAGCTGATATTTCTAATCAATTTATTCAAGTTCCATATGGTCAACAAATTTTAATAGCTGTTAAACCAAAAATAATAACAACATCAGAGAGATTAAGATTTTATAAGCCAAAAGCGTAAAAAGAAGAAATTCAAATAATTTTTAAAATTTATGCAAAATTGTTTACACTATAATTTAAAATTGCATATTTTCAGGCGACAATGTTATTTTCAAGATGAACGATATTTAAGATTTTTCAAATTTTATACACAAACGAATTGTGAAATTGAATGTTTAGCTAATTATACATTACATAAATGCAAATGTGTAAAATTTTCAATGCCAAGTTAGTTTAAATTATTTGTTACTAGCTACGTAAATAATTATAATTTTGAGAAAATATGTTTTAAAATTCGCCTATTCAACTTTAAATATAATTTTAGGAAGTCAAAATACACCAATATGTGGTCCAACAGATATTGAATGCTATTATGAAGATGCAAATAGCTTATTAAGGCAACAATTACTTAAAGGTTATAAAGGAGAAGTATTACATGATCTTGATTGTGATTGCTTACCAGCTTGTACTTCAATAACATACGAAACTGAAATAACACAAGCTCATTATAATTTTGTATCACATTATGGTGCATTTTTAAAAGATATGCCAACAACTGATAATAATACACCTGCGTAAATTTTTTAATATTAAATAAATGTTTTACTAAATAAGCAATTTACCTAATTTCCTTTTTTGTTTTAGGGTTGAAATGACAAAATTGTATATATTTTTTAAAGAAGCACAATTTTTAACATCAAAACGTTCTGAACTTTATGGTACAACTGATTTTCTTGCAAATTGTGGTGGTCTTTTAGGTCTTTTTATGGGTTTTTCTTTACTAAGTTTCATGGAATTAATTTATTTTTGTACATTAAGGCTAACTAAAAATTTAAATATAAGAAATAAAGTTAAAAGAAGTATTAAAAATAATAAAGAAATAGAATAAGTTTAATACTCAATTTATAATTTTTAAAAAATAATTTAAATTTGTATTCAAGTTCATTTAAATTTATCTTTAATTTTAAAACTTTCATATGAAACTTTAAAAATAAGAATAAAATTTAAAATTAAATTTCAAACACTCAAAATATTCTTAGATTTTGATATTGTAATGAATAGACTGTAGCTATGTTATATTTTTCCGATAAAATCAAATCATATATAAACCCACAAGTATTATTCACTTCACCTATCTAAAACAATATCCGATTTTTTTATATAACGAATAACGTAAACTATAAAAAAAAAGAAGTAAAATGCTTCAATATGAAAAATGTACTTTTAAGCCGATCTAAAATTCACAAAGTTTCAACCGCCTATATGCATATGTTTTGCCTATATATATATTTATGTATAACAATAATTTCCATATTGCAATCTCAATATCATCTTTTCGCATACACACACACACCGATTGAAAACAAAACACACATAAAATCGGATTATTATGCAATAATGGTTTTTTGATTGCATATTGCAGTCGTCTACAATTCAATTCACAATACTCTCAAATAAATTTAGATGTCAAATGTTTGCAATATATCAGTTGTTTTTTTGGAAAAAAAAAAACATACAATAAAAATTAAATACTATGAATACTCACCAAGCAATAGTCAATAGGCAAGAAATAATTTTTTTTCACTCCCAGAACTTATTCTATGGTCTCATTCACTTTTTTCCAAACACCAATATATAAACGAAATGGCATGCCGAAACATGCTCAAGTGCTTTAATAATATGTATGAGCACTTGCCCCGAAAGAATTCGGCCCTCTTCTTTATTTATTATATTCCTTTATGTCCCAATATTGGAATCACCAACCAATTCATTAAGTCAACACAACCGTCCGTTAAAATTCTTTCAATTTTACTTATTTTTTCGTTCTGCTTCACCTAATGTATTGGAAACGAAACAATTTTTTGTAGATCGCAAATCTACTATACGAGAAAAAATTCATTCTTAAAATGTATTCACTTTCGATTGAACTCACGCACTCAAGACAACTTCTCTTCGAACACTGATATCCCGTTACAAAGAATTAAAAACCACAAAAACAATATAACGTCGGCTGAGAAAGAAAACAGCGTATAACATTTATACGTCGTTATCCGATTTTATCACCATTGGATTCTCCATAGTCGATTCTATAAGTTGAGTTACTTTATATTTCTCTAGCTTTTCATTCTAACATACTTTTTAAATAAAAACGAAAATATTGTATAAAGCATTTTTAGAAACTAATTAATAACAAAATAGCGTAAAATGCGTTTACTTTGTTTTATTGCCAAACCGTAACTTTTTACAAAATTTAAAATAACGTAATGAATTCTTACACTATTTTGGTAGAAAATTTATCATTCAGTTGTTAATTTCAATACCAAATAAAAAAGTGTATGTTACTTTTACACGTTTTTTAAATTTTAATAAAAAAAATTTTTGCAATAAACTGAAAAGTAAAACGGTGTAAGAATTTGATACACTGTTTCATATTGTCTTATACACTACTTTAATTTTGAATTTTGAATCGTCTTCCCTGGCAAACAATGCAATAAAACAGCGTACAAAACAAACGTACATATGTACATTATACTTGTTTAATTTTGTTTAATTCTATATGCATCTTCATGTATAAGACAAATATTTTTAACAAATAAGTATTCTGTTGGATTTTGTTGATCAGTACAGAACTTAAAGTTATAACTTTTTTAATAAGTGAAGCAAATAATTAATAATTTAAGGCAAAATTTTATACTCACAACAATTAAAATAATTTTGTTGTGTCACGTAAAAAGAAAAGGAATAAAAATTTTAATGATGAAGAAGTGGTAACTTCTTCATCAGAATTTTCGAGAAGTCACCAGAAAATTCTATTACAGACTTTTCTTCTGGCTCTGATGACAATTATGAGTCTAGCAAGAGTTCAGCATCTGAAACGGGTGAAGCGGAACCAGAAAAACTTACAGAATGTTTTATAGACTAAACGTTTGATAATGAAAACATTACATCTACATCACCGGAAACACTACTCGAAAAAATTTTATAAAGTACTAATCTAAGTGAAAATGTAAAAAAGCAATAAAAAAAATTAAAAAAGAAAGAATTCAAAGCAAAAGAACGTTACAACGGAATTTGCAACTGCCAACACAATTGCGTTGAAAAATTTCCTTAAGATGCAAGAATTAATAGTAATAATTCGTATTGAAAGCTGGGTGATTATGGAAAGAAAAGATTATTTCTAAAACATACTTTCACACACAAAGTATACTCGTATACAAGAAAACGACCGCGAATGTCTCGAAAAAATTTTACGCCTTGTTATACATTGTATGGTAAAACCGTTTGCAAAAAAGCTTAACTTAAGCATTATAAAATACACATAAAAGTTGGCTAGCATACTTATAAAAGAATCTTTAATACAAAATTTAATAACTCGTTTCATGTGCGCAATATGAAAACATGATCAATCAATCTTAGTTAGAAACATTCAGTAGCATTTTATCAAAACTTGGCAGAAAAAGCCTCATCTAAAAATAATTTATCTAAATTAAACGAACCAAGCTATTCAGAAGACGAGATCGAAGAGCTATAATTAATTTTTAAAACTAAGTTTCAAAATTTCAAGTAGAAATAATGTACATTTGAATTATCTTTTATGTTAATATTATTTATTTTTGTTTACAACTTTTCATGTTACATTAATATCGATAAAAATACCTGTTTATATTTTCATACGTTGAGTTAAAGTATGTAATGTTAATTTTGTTTCTCAAATTATATTAATTTTTTACAAAATAAAATAACGTATAAATAAAAATGAAATGGTGTATACCATACAAAAAAAATTAAAATGAAACAGTGTATAACTTTCTTCATACAATTTCTACCAAAAATAAAATAGTGTAAGAAGTACCAAGAAATTTCAAACCTCTAATTTTCTAAGATCTACAAAAATTTATTTAATCAAATTTATGCAAATAAACTATTTATTCCCCCAAAAATGTTTAACATAACTTTTCAGGATAGTCAAAGATGACGACCGGAAAATTTTAGATTCGAAACTTCATTTTCATTTTGCAAAAAACTTCAAACGCGATTTACTCAAAACTATACCTTTTTTTATACACTGTTTTATTTCTCAGCCGACGATAAATAAAATTTACACTCAGAAAAAATAAATAGAGAAATAAACAAAAAAAAAATTCAAAATTTTAATAAAACATAAAAAGACAGGTCTAGTGCTTTGTACATTACCCAAAAAAAAAAAAAAAGACGACAAAAAAATGGAGAAACCGAGAAAAAATTAATTCATTGAACACCAGCAAAAATAAAAACAGGACCATAATAATCCTTTTTGCAATTTTGATTAAATACGAAACATGTTGATTTGAAATTCAAAACCGATTTTTTTCGTTTCTTTGTAATATTTTGTTTCTTCTCTTGATCCTATGCTGATCACACACAGAAAACATATGAACAAAATATAAATGATATTACAAATTCATCATGATTCATTTTTACTCTAGTCATTTTCTCATTTCCTTCTCCCATTTTTATCCTTTCGTGTTTTTGTTTTTCTGTTCGTTGAATTAAAAATAAACCGATTTTTTTTTTGCTTCTTAAATTCTATTTTTCAACTCTTATTTTATGCTTTATTTTGTTTTTTTGTCTGTTACGCTCTTATCCTGTATCAATTGGACTTATAAGCTTTCAAAAATATTACCGGAAAAAATTGAATTGTGGTGGAAGGAAATGAGAAAAAAATATAACAATAAAAATAATAGAAAAACAGAAAAATAAATCTCCATTTTAATAAAATTTTCCTCAAGCTACAAATATTGTTATACCGTTAGGTTTTTCTAGCCATATTTAATAGACTTCAAATACTTTTTTTGTTTCTATATGCCAAGCGAAAAATCCGTTTTTGAATGTTTCTTTTGCTTTTTCTTTTCAATGTTTATTCTTATTTTTATACATTCATTCTAGTGTTTTGTGAGAATTATAGAAAACTAATTGGGAACAATTTACAAAAGGATGTGAGTAAGAGAAGGAACTACACATAGAATTTATGAGGCAATAGATTGGAGAACAATGTTAAAGGATTGCCTACTTGTTGTTTTGATTTTACATTTATTTGCTTCTTTTTTTTATGTTAAAACAAAAGAATTTTAATTTAAGGAGTATTAGGATTTAGATTAACATTTTAGAATTATTTCCTCTTTTTTTCTTCAATTGAAGAATGATTTTGTGCTAGAATTGATGCATTTCACTCTATGTGCACTTTTTTTCAATGAAATAAAAACTAGAAATTGTTCTAGCATATTCACCATATGGTTTCATATAATTTCTATATATAAAATAACGATAAATGATTGGATTATACAGTATGAGGCTATGAGCCGAAAATATTATCGTTAAGAAATAATATAACAGTATATTCGAACCACATAAATTAAATTTTTTTAACAATTAAATTCAACTTTTGCTCAAATATTTTAATATTATTTTTGGAATTTTTTTATCAAAATTTCTTTAATTTGATTTGCAAGTGTAATATTTAATGAAGAATTTGTTACTGTAACCTCGCTAATGGTTTGGAACTAAAATAAAATTTTACAAACGTACGGCAACACTAAACTCATCAGCCATAAATGACAGACGAAGGCATTCGGTTTAAAAGAGTTGATATATTTTTTTATATATGCGTACCCAAATGTCCCTCTAGTTCCTCTAATCTGATGTGAAGAAAACGGAAATATTTGGTGGAATGGATCTCCCACAAGTATCCATTAAAAGCAATCTTTGATTTAGGAAAAATGTCGCTTGATTGACACTTGAGACCTCCATTTTTTTGTAAGGCAAGCATAGTTTAGCGTC